TTGGCCCCAGGGAGCACCGGACAAGCAGGTGATCACGTCACGTTTGAGCTGGGGTGGATCATTTACAGCCCCACATGACCGACAATTGCAAAGGACCAGTTTTTTCCCCAAAGTTAGAGGTTTTGTTTTTGTTTGTTCACCCTTTCTAGCCTATCAACAGTCTCACTCAGGAGTTTTAGCTGCAAAGGTCTCAAAAAAGTGTTAGGAAAAGAACTGTTGAAGAGCATAGCCTGCTATTTTTACTTTTTGTTTTTTGTTTTTTTCTTTCTCACGTTTTTTTTCCCTTTTGTTCTGATTCTTCTTTCACAACATGACTAATGTGGAAATATGTTTAACATGATTGTACAAGTATTTTTTTAAAAAGGAAAGGAAAGGACTGCTGAAAATTGCAGTCATGAAGGAAAGATCATCTTTTTTAAGAATACCAGCTAGCAGTCTGTTCAAGTAAATTGTGAAATTACAGTGGACTTCAGTCTATGTTAAATGCTGTTGAATGCCGTTAACTCTGCTCTCCTGAATTACATAATACACTGATTCATGGCAGAGAGGCTCAAAAGAGTTCCTTGCCAGATCTCTATGGAAAAGAATTTTTCTAAAGGGAGTGTATTTCCCACTGATCTCATATGTTTCCATTAAAATATCACTACCGTTTCTCTCCATGCCAGGACTTCCTTTTTTTTTTTTTAACATATGAAAGTTTATTTTGACTTGTGTTGAAAGGTTGGTGGTGGTGGTTGTTATTCTGTAGTTTTTTCATCATGTTCGATTCTTCATGACACCATTTAGGGTTTTCTTGGCAGAGATGCTGGAGTGGTTCACCATTTCCTTCTCCAGCTTATTTTGCAGATGAGGAAACTTAAGCAAATAGGGTTAAGTGACTTGTCCAGGGTCACACAGCTAATAAGCATCTGAGGCTGGATTTGAACTCAGGAAGATGAGTCTTCCAGACTTTAGGCCTGACACTGTGCCACCTAGCACCATGTGTTGAAAAAGTACGAGTGTTCAAATAAATGACCAAGAGTATGAAAAAGACAATAAGAAAAATGAGAGTTTAGATGATTGTACACACATCCAATCCAAACTAACAAGTGCTGTATTGATTAAGCACCTGTTATGTGTGAAGCACTATGCTATGCACTGGAGTAACACAATTTAAATTAAATTAATGTCTGACTTCACAGACATTGCATCACGCTGGGGGATGTAGCGTGGAAGCCAACGAGTATCTGCAGGATTAGTTGAGGAAGAGAGGGCACCAATGGCTTGGGGCATCCGGATTAGAAGGGGCCACCTGAGCTGAACCTCGAAAACAGTAAGATGTCATCTCGGCCACAGGGAACAAATTGCCTAAAATGCAGAATTTGTGAAGGGGAGGAGTGTGGCCGGGAGCTCAGATTTCATTGTTCTCCTAGAGAAGATAAGGAACCACATGTGGCCCCTGAGCTGGGGAATGGCAGGCTCAGAAACTCCTGGAGAATATTTTCATGGCATCTGGGTAGGGGATGGATTGGAATGAGAGAGGGTGAAAGCCAGGAGGCCTACTGGGGGCACTCTTTCAACCCTTCCCTCAAGAAGGGCCAAGGGCCTGGCCATGGGTGGGGAGTCTTGGGAGCATGGAGAAGAGTTCCTCAGTCCCTCTTTATTCAATGCCTTCTGTCTCTTGATTATTTCCAATTTGTTTAGTGTTTAGCTTGTTCTTACAGTGGTCTGCGTGTTGCCTTGCCCATTAGATTGGGAGTTCCCTGAGAGCAGAAATTGCTTTGACCTTTCTTTGTATTCTTAGCACTTAGCACAGTAAACACTTAATAATGTTTATTGACTGACTGACAGACAGATGGGGGAGACATGGTTGAGACAGAATCAACAGTATTATAGCTTCTATTATTTGCCCATTGTTAATCCCACCCCAAATATATGTTACATGTCTGTAACATAATATAATATACATTTTCACATAGACTCATGTCATCCCAGTTTCCTCCATTTTTTACTCATGTGTGTACCGTGACTTTGTTGCTGTTATCATTGTTTTTACTTCTTGCAATCAGTTCATTTATTGTTCTTTGGCTCCCACTCTCTTCACTGTGAGGTCCTTGAGTGCGGAGACTGTCTTTTGTCTTTCTTTGTTGTCCCCAGCACTTAACACAGTGCCTGGCACATAGTAGGTGCTTAATAAGTCTTAGTTGACTGACTGATTTTACATCTTCCTAGACTTCTCTGAATTCTTTGATCTTTGTTACTCAGTAATATGCAGATTTTATTCCTCTATAAGGATTGGTACCTCATTTCAACAAGCATTTATTAAGTACCTTCTGAGTGCCATGTACTGTGCTAGGCCCATAGGATTCAGCCTAAAATGAAAGTCCCTGCTTTCAAAGAGCTTACATTTCATTGCTGGGAAATAACGACTTTCTGAAAGGCAGTAATTAGGGCTATGAATCAGCCCAGAAACATTTAAAGTATATTTTAAACAATGTAATTATTCCTGCCTAACATAGTAAGCACTTAATAAATGCTTGTTGACTTGATGGAAACAGTTGATATCTGGTTAAAAGTGTTATTATATTTAGCCAAAATATATCATTTTTTTCAAAAGCATTGGTGATATTTATTAATTTGTTCAACAAAAATTAACCAACTGCTTATTCTGTGCCAGATAATACTGGGCATTGGGAATAAAAAGAGCAAAATGATACAATCCCTGACCTCAAGGCGCTTACATTCTACTTGGGGGGTATGGCATATACTAAGAGAATTGTGATAAAAGGTGGGCAGAGAAAATATTAGAACAAAGTGCTCTGGGAAAATTTGAGGATGGGAAAGCCTTTCGTGTGGAGGGACCAGGGAAGGGTATCACAGAAAAGATGGCACCTGAATGAAGAGGATTCTAAAAAGTGGAGAGGAGGAAGAGACTTTAGTCCAGGCATGACGGAGTTGATGTAATGAGCTGGGGGCCAGTTGGCTCACCAGATTGTTTAGTACATGGACTGTGTGAGGTAGAATTATGTGAAATAAGGCTGAGCTAGAGAAAAGACTGTGCAGGGCCTTCATCGTCTGGCTGAGGCAATAGTATTTTCCTTTAGAGGTAATAGGGAGCCAAGAAAGTTTATGAGAAAAGGTGTGACATGGTCAGAAGCTAAGATTTAGGAAAACAATTTGACCATCTCTGTGAAGGACAAACTGAAGAGGGGAGAGACTGGAATCAAGGATAGCATAGTCCATGAGAGAATCAGGTCAAATCAATAAGCATGCCTAATAATAATAATTGTTATTATTATAGCTAACTTTTTTATGGGCCTTCTAAGGTTTGCAGAACACTATAAATATCATCTCATTTGATCCTCACAACCCTGATCAGGAGGTGCTGTTATTATCTGCATTTTACATATGAGGAGACTGAGGCAGATAGAAGTGAAATGACTTGCCCAGGGTCATCCAGCTAGTAAGTGTCTGAGGCTAGATTTGAACTCAGGTCTTCATCACTCCAGGTCTGGGGGTCTATTCACTGTGCCTAGTGCTGGCAATGCAAAGAAAGACAAGAAACAGTCTCTGCTTTCAAGGAGTTCCCATTTTAATGGGGGAGACAACATGCCACCAACTTTGTAAGAGAGACAGCACCATCGTTAAGATGGGGAGGTACCGGGAGAGCCTCCTTCAGAGTGATAGCCAAGTGAATTTAGAGAAGGGGACAGACGCAACAGATATTATGGAAGGAAACTTGACTGGACCTGGTGACTGATTGGATGTGAGGGTTAAGAAAGAGGGAAGATCCTGGGCTGACTCCACCGTTAGAAACGTGTTGCCCAAGAAGATGGCGGGGCCCTCCACAGAAAGAGGGAGCCCACAGTAGGAGCTTCCAACGGGAAGGCAATGACCTTCATTTCCCAGGAAGTCTAAGAACTCTGCCTCCCTGGGTGCTCTTGTGCTCCTGGGTGATCTTTTGGCTTTTTTTCCCCCTCCTGTTTCTGGGCCTGAAGCCCTTCTGAACACTCAAGAATGCTAAAGACCAGTCTCTGGGTGTTGGAGATTTTGTTGCTTTTAAATTAAAGTTGTTTACTTTAGTTAACATTGATGAAGAGTGACTGTATTGGTCGCCAGTGTGAGTTTTCCACCGTCCTCTCATCAGTCATCAAGTCAAGCTGTGTAAAGCCTAACATTCCTTGGCAAACAGAGGCCCGTGACTCAGGATGGCTACTAAGCCCAGGCAGTGCACTCATCCTCGGAAAGGAAACAAAGACTGGGCTGACCGGGGCTTCCTCCAACATAGGCATCGTGGGAGACCAGAAGTTCATCCACTGGAACTTCTTGACTTTTGTCAAGTTTGCGTTTGGTGATGTGCTAAAATTCTGTGCTGAGAGCTGCTATCGAATTGTATTTTCTTTTAAACTATTAATTACAAGAACAAAAGAATTGTCATTATCCATAGTTTGTCATTAATATTCATGAGTCCTTTGATGATTAGAATGTCTAAATGTACAAAGCTATACCAAATGTGAAAAGATGGCTACAGAAGACATCCCTTGACATTTTTTTCTGTATAACTCAAGATTCTAGGAGCAGTGAATTTTTTTAGAGTTGAAAGGGACCTTAAAGGGTATGAGATCTAACCTCCTCATTTTACAGATGAGGAAACTGAGTCTCCAGAGAGATTACATGATTTGGCCAAAGGTAACAAGTGTCAGGGTCTGGATTTGAACCCATGACCTCTTACTCCATTTCAGTGTATTAGACCTTGAGTTTGACTTTTTTTTTTAATTGGTTCTTCCATACTAATCATACTAATAACTATTATACTGGGAATGAATAATTGAACCCCAGGGAGAATCCTAAAACCCTTCTAACCTTTTAACAAGGTCTTATAATGGTTTCATTTAATAATATTTAATAGTATTTTGTCTGTCACGAGAGATGCAAACATTTGTTAAACCTAAGATGTCTGTTGAATTGCTTTAATAATAACGTGTATTTGTTTACAACAACTTTACTTTTTTTTTCCCTAGGTTACGTTTCGGACAAGAATCTATCACTGTAATATTAACAGCCAAGGAGTGATCTGTCTGGACATTCTAAAGGATAACTGGAGTCCAGCCCTCACCATTTCTAAGGTTCTTCTCTCCATCTGCTCACTTCTCACAGATTGCAACCCTGGTAAGAGGCGATAAGATGTTGGTCTAGACTCTTGACATTCTGGTCCACTGCTTTCCTTTTCTTCTTGTGAATCATTTTAAATCTCCATAGTATGTTTCCTGCCCTCTCCTAAATTGGGTCAGTTCATTAAACTCTTCATGGTTTATTTCTTGCTGTATGTAGTGGGGAAGGGAGGGAGACGGGGACAGGAATGGGCTGGGGAAAAGCATTTATTATATAAATTAAAGAAAAATTCCTCCAGAAGGGAAAGTGCATTTAAGGACTACATGATAAGAATACATTAACTGCTACAGCCAAATAATAATAAAAATTAAAATTGAAGAACTTAAGCCTTAATTATATACCTAGGAGAAGATGCTAATTTCAGAAATGTAGGCTATTAAAGTGTGATACAATCAAACAGCAGCAGAGACTGAACCCTCCTGCATCCTCCCAGTGTCTGAAGAGCTGTCTGACCCAAACAAACAAAAGGGGGAGGGGGACCCCACCAACTGGCTTCTCTGGATTGGGAAAGGCTGAAAAGGACAATTAAGGAAGAGCAGCTGCCTGGGAAATCCAGAGGCAATTCCCAAAGCCATCTGGGTTTCAGGCTAGTCTCCAGATAACATGTTCACAACTTACTGGCTTCAGAGTAGGATTCCTTCTCTTTTACCTTCTCCTAATAATTAAAGGACACACCTGCCAGTCTGTTTTCCCATTGTTCAGTTCTGCTTAGGAAGCTCTGAGATCTGAAAGAGCACTTCTGGTCAGGGGTGTGCTGAGGCCAGTTCAAACCAGCTTGCGAGGGCCAATGGAGCATTTACACTTCAGAAAAAAGCAAATGCTTCAAATAAGAGCTTCGTGTGTTGTTTTGATGATCGTCTTCACTAAGAGATTGATGGAGAAGATGTTACTAATGCCTGTTAACTCATGAGTGAGTTGTGGGCACATTTTTTTTTCCTTCTGCAGAGCCAGTTGTTAAACATTTGCCAGCAACACCCCAGCTGTCGTGGGTTTTTGGAGATTTCTTGAGTGATTCAGCAATGAAATGGGCGATGTCGGGAGACAGCAAACTCCCTTTTATCAACAGTACCATCCCAGTTGGGTGTGGTGTACAGGGGATACTTGTTAGGACTGAAGTGATCTCTGGTCTCTGAGTCTGCCAGTTCTGAACCTCGATGCTGTTCACTTGGTGTTTTAGAAAGCTATAGGGATAGAAACTGGGCCTGTGGCTTCACTGCTATAGGGCCGTGCTGCCAGACTCATAGAAACGGATCCCTGTGACCACATATTGATATAGAAAACCACAAATTCACATTATCTTTGTTTATAGTCTTTTTATTTCTTTTGTTAAACATTTCCCAGTTACATTTTAAATTGATTCTCATGGACCCACTCAGGAGTTTTGTATGCTATGGACCACTAGTAATAGCTGTAATAATTCATGTAGTGGCCACTATGTGTCAGGCACTGTGCTAAGCATATTACTATTATTATGCCCTTGGATTCTCACAACCACCCTGGGAGGTAGGTGCTATTATCATCCCCATTTTGCAGATGAGGAAACTGAGGCAGATAGGTTAAATGATTTGCCCAGGGTTATATAGCTAATAAGTGTCTGAGGCTGGATTTGAACTCTGGTCTTCCAGACTCCAAGCCCAGTGCTCTGTGCACTATGGCACCCCTTAGCTGCCTAAAATAACAAGGAGAAACTTCTATTTGGCCCCTGTCCAGAATCCCACAAATTTAAATTTAATGGATTCTGAATTCATAGGATTTTACTAATGCTAAAGAATGAAAAATATCCTGAGACCATTAGCTCTCAGAACTCCACAAGTTACTCAGCTTTGGCTTCTATTTTAAAGGCAGAAATCCTCACACTTTGATCATTTGGCCAAGATTCCCTGATCTCAGATTGCCCGGCTGCTGCTATTTTTGTATCCAGTGCAATTTTGACAGTTTTCCTTGGCATCTTTCCGTAACTCTCCTCTCTATACCATGAAGTCTTTTTTTTAAATGATTTTTATTTATTTTGTTAAATATTTCCCAATTACATGTAAAAAAAATTTTTCACAGTCATTTCTTTAAAATTCCAAATTCCTTCCCTTTCTCCTGTTGGGTCGAAGGGTGTGTACGGCTTTATAGCCCTTTGGGCATAGTTCCAAATTGTTCTCCAGAATGGTCGGACGACTTCACAACGTCATCAACAATGCATTAGTGTCCCGATCTTTCCACATCTTCTCCAGCATTTGTCATTTTCCTTTTCTGTCATGTCAGCCAATCTGGTAGGTGTGAGGTGGTATCTCAAGAGTTGTTTTAACTTGCATTTCTCTAGAGCATTTTTTCATGTGCCTATTGTTAGCTTTGATTTCTTCTTCTGAAAACTGCCTATTTATAGCATTTGACCAGTTGTCAACTGGGGAATGACTCTTATTTTTATAAATTTGGCTCAGTTCCTTGTATTTTGAAAAATGAGGCTTTGATCAGAAAAACTTGCTGCAAAAATTTTTTCCCAGTTTCCTGTTTTCCTTCTAATTTTGCAGCATTGATTTTGTTTGTGCAAAACCTTTTTAATTTCGGTTAATCAGAATTATCTATTTTATTTCTGTTTATGGTTTAAACCAGTTTTTGAGTTGATTCTCTAGAGTTCTCTAGGTAGACCATCAGATAGTCTGCAAAGAGCGATAGTTTTGTTTGCTCATTGCCTGTTCTGATACATTCAATCTCTTTTTCTTATCTTATTGCTATAGCTGAATATTTCTAGTACAATATTGAATAATAGCAGTGATAATGGACATCTTTGCTTCATTCTTGATCTTATTGGAAAGGCTTAAAGTTTATGCCCATGACAGATAATGCTTGCTTTTGGTTTTAGATCAATACTGCTTATTTTTAAAAAGTCTTCATTTATTCCTGTGCTTTCTAGTGTTTTTAATAGGAATGGTTGTTATATTTTGTCAAAGCTTTTTCTGCATCTATTGATATAATCATTTGAGTTTTGTTGTTTTTATTACTGATATGATCTATTATGCTGATCATTTTCCTAATATTGAAGCAGCCCTGATATAAATCCCACCTGGTTATAATGGATGATCTTTGTGATATACTGCTATAATTTCCTTGCTAGTATTTTATCTAAAAATTATGCATTGATATTCATTAAGGAAATTTCTCTATAATTTTCTTTATCTGTTCTTGTTCTCCCTGGTTTAGATATAAAAACCATATTTGTGTCATAAAAGGAGTTGGGTAGGACTTCTTTACTTATTTTTTCAAATAGTTTATTTGGGATTCATTGTTTCTTAAATGTTTAGTAGAGTGCACTTGTGAATCCGTCTGGTCCTGGGGATTTTTCCTTAGGGAGCTCATTGATGGTTTGTTCAATTTCTTTTTCAAAGATAGGGTTATTTAAGTATTCTATTTCATCTTCTGTTAATTTCAGCAATTTATATTTTTGTAAACATTCATTTCATTTAGATTGTCAGTTTTTATGGCATATAATTGGGCAAAATAACTCCTAAAAATTGCTTTAATTTCATCTTCATTGATGGTGCATTCATCCTTTTCATGTTTGATTCTAGTAAGTTGGTTTCCTTCTTTCTTTTTTAAATTGAATTATTTAATGGTTTATTTTATTAGGTTTTTTTTTTCATAAAACCAGTTCCTTGTTTTATTTATTAGTTCAGTGGTTTTTAGTTTTATTAATTTGTCCTTTGATTTTATTAATTTTATTCACTTTCAATTTTATTAATTGCTCCTTTGATTTTCAGGATTTTTAATTTGTTATTTTTCTAGTTTGATTTTTTTTTTCTAGTTCATAGCCAGTTCATTGGTCTGCTGTTTCTCTCTTTTATCGTAGATATATGCAGATTTCCCCCTAAGTACTGCTTTGGCTGCATCTTACAAATTTTGGAATGTTGTCTAATTGTTGTCATTCTCTTTAATAAAATTACTGACTTTCTATGATTTGTTCTTTGACTCACTCATTCTTTAAGATTAGATTAGTTTTCAAATAGCTTTTAATTTATATTTCTATAACCCTTTATTAAATGTAATTTTTATTGCATTGTGGTCTGAAAAGGGTGCATTTAATATTTCTGCTTTTTTGCATTTGGTTGTGAGGTTCATATGTCTTCACACATGGTCAATTTTTGTGAAAGTTCAATGTATAGCTAAGAATAAGATATACTTCTTTCTGTTTCCATTCAGTTTCCTCCGGAGTTCCATCGTATCTAAGTTTTCTAAGATTCTGTTCATTTCCTTGTCTTCTTTTGTATGTATTTCATTGTTAGATTTAGCTCTGAGAGGAGAAAGTAGAGGTCCCCCACTTTTGTTATCTATTTCCTCTTATAATTCATTTAACTTTTCCTTTTAAGAATTTGGGTGCTGTGCCATTTGGTGCATATGTGTTTTGTATTGATATCACCTCATTGTCTTTGGTTCCATTTAGCAAAATGTAGTTTCCCTGCTTATCCCTTTTAATTGGACCTATTTTTGCTTTTGCTTTGTCTGAGATCATGATTGCTACCCCCTGCCTTTTTTACATCAGATGAAGCATAACAGAGTCTGCTCTAGTCCCTTATTTTAATTCTGTGTATGTTCCTCTGTTTCAAGTGTGTTTCTTATAAACAACATATTGTTGGATTGTAGTTTCTAATCCGCTCTGTTATCTGCTTCTGTTTTAGGGGTGAATTCATCCCATTCACATTCACAGTCATGATTACTAACCATGCATTTCCCTCCATCCTATTTCTTCTGTTTATCCTTCTTTTTCTGTTTTTATCCTGTCACTCCTCTAAAGTCTGTTTTGGTTCTAACCCTATCTGCCCTCCCTTTTTTCACCTACACACACTGTTTCTCTTACCCCCTTCGCTCCTACTTCCCTATTGGGTAAGATGGATATCTATTACCAATTGAGTATATACATATATATATACACATATATATATATATACACACACACATACATATTTCTGTTTTTGAATAAACTTAGATGTGAATGAGGTTCAAACATTGCCTGC